CGGTCTTGTGATAATACCCCGCCACGGTAGTAATTATGTTGGTTTATAAATAGATGTAGAATCTATTTATAATAGATCAAAGAACGTATCATGGTTATGACACATCTTAAACCCCTGTGTTCACATACTGGCATGTGCTCGAAAGCTATTGTGATGTGGATACACATGGAGAGCTGCACTGAGTGAACCTCCTGTCCTAAGCTGAGGTCACGTTATAGTTAGTAAGACTGCAGGAACACTGGGGACAATATATGCTCTGCTGACTGACGAATAGTCACTGTTATGTGCAGTGTACAACGTGGGACACGTCTTATAGTATTTGAGTATTAACCTGTGTGTTCATTTAGTTATAATAAATAACTAATCAACACAACTTGACCATATGCTTCTCCAAATATTTTTTACCCATTATCTCAGATTATATGACCCCTGGGGAGCAACATTTTCCAAACTCCATCAGGATCATTTGTGCTTCTACAGACATACACTACACATTTTCCAGGTGCTATGAAAAGAGAGCAACACATATGAGTGGAATCTTACTGGATCCATGGTGAAACACGCTCTGCTCCAGTCCAGAGAAGCTCCGAGCTTCCTCAGCTGGTGGTAGATCTCTTCTCCTGTCCTGGAACACACACAGGGACAGAGTGAAGCTAATATGCTGCAGCCCAAACACAGGATGACGAGGGATGAATGTGAAGACTCACTCGTTCTTCCATTTCCACACCTCACGTAGAAACTGTTTCCTGGTGAAGTCCTGTCTGCGCTTCCCGCTGTCCCTCAGCAGTCTCCTCTCCACCACCGTCTAACACAGACACAAAGGACTACATGAGACGCAGCAGCAGTGAGAGGTTTCTTAAAATCCTGTCCATGCAAAGCCAGAAGAAAATCAACATCACTCACCACCTCACAACCAAACCACTGATATGCTTTCTGTTTAATGAAGAGAACTTTTAAGTGAAGGTGCTGTTTCTTCATGTCATTAAGAAGAACTCCACATGAGAAAACTATTCCCAGTGTACTGCGGTTCAGGAGTTCTAATGGAAGTGATGGGGGGCAAACCCTGCATTGTGAAGCTTCAGCAGTCTGAGTACGTCACATCCAGTAGATCTCACAAAGTTACTGAATAAATGAGGACTGTGGATTTTCTCCATTGGAATGACGTTAGCAGGGGATCAAACCAAAGCAACATTTAAGAAAGAATTGAGAAAACGTGAGCCAATCCTTTAAATCCCAGACTGTCATGAAAGAGGAAGAAGACAAGACGCTGTCATACCTGTGTTGCAATACCTGCATGGTCACATCCAGGGACCCACAGGACTCTGTAGCCCTGCATCCTCCTCCTGATGGATTACAAATTGATATTTTACATTATCAAACAAACGGATCAATTCTTAACTAGCGACAACTGACACTTGACACAACATGCTGCAGATGTTACCATCGAACCAGAGCGTCCTCCACAGCTACAGTGAGAGCGTGGCCCAGGTGCAGAGTACCAGTCACGTTTGGTGGAGGGATACACAGAGCGAAGGTCTGATCCACACCGTGAGACAACCTCTCCTGGTGGACACGACAGGTGTGAGAGTGGGTGTGCCAGAGTCTGTGTTTGATTGGCCACCTGCTACAATGCATTTCAATAATTGCTGGGTGGAGCATTCATTAATGCTATTGACTGTGCTTTTGCTGCTGTGACAAGTCAAATCTTTGCAGTGAAAAAAAAGCCTGGTAATCGGACTCAGCTGAGAACAATGAAGAAAGACGAGTGCAGTTCCTGTTCAGAACACAAACTGGTGAGAACAATACATCAATAACATTTTGACTTGCCTCTTATTACTCCTCATGTTCCTAGTATTGTTACCTGGCTAAACATGCTATTCATTTGAATGACAGGTGGAGGGACATTACAGAAACAGTTTGGGAACAGCAGAGCCAGAAAGCTAATGTGTTCAAGGTGTGGCTCTCCTTGTGATGCGTCTCAGGCTGTGAGTCAGTGTCACAATCACACATAAAAACACAAGTGGCCTTCTGCTTTATGCAAATACAGCTGCCATCCATTAGATTGGTTATATGCAGAGAATGTAAAGAACCAGCAGCATTCGGACTGTTAATGCACAATGCCACTTCATTTAACTGTTCAATGTGTTCTGTGTTATTCTGTATTACATAGATTATATCAAAGGCTGTACTAAAGGGAAGTCAAATATAAATAAATAAGTGAGGGGCCATCACTTTAGTTTGTTCCTCACATGTTGTTCTGGACGAAAGAATCCCTCTTTCTCCCACCACTGATACCAGCTGGACTCCACATACTCTGGACAGTACGAGGACGGGAACAGCAAGCTGGTGTCTGCAGAGCACAACGCACGTTAAAGTGTGCAGAGAGACGCGGTGGACAAGCTGCTGCTGGAAAAGTCAATCACCTTTCTTTGTCCCTGGAGGTGTTTGAGCAGCGTACACGATCTTCTGCTTCTCACCCCATTTCACTGCTTCATCTTCAGCAGTCTGGAAAGCAACAGACCACACAAATAAACCATTTACTGCATATGAACCACTACTTTAATACATCCGGGTGTACCTGGACTGTGTGAGCAATGAACCATGATATCAACTGTGTATATGATATTTGCACCAAAGTATTGATTGCCATGTATAAAATCATATACACCGAGTTACAGGAATAAACCACAGACACATGATACGGGGAAACTAGCATGATGTATGAAAAATAATGTATTGGTTGTTTGATGTGGACATTTAGGCCAAAACATGAGGACACAGAGATATGGGAGGGGGGAGGGGGGTGCATTGTAAATTGACATAAACAGATGACTCGACAAAGAAAGCAAAACAACACATCCACTTTTACATAACCAAATATGACTATTGTCAGAATTAAACATGTACATGAATGAAACTAAAGCTTGGGGGTTTGAAGATGAGTGTTCAACCACTAGTAAGACTCTGTTATGATGGTGTATTATTTCTGGTTTTGCTGCATCAAATATCTGTATTTTACACTTAGTGTTCTCTGAGAAATTGCCTTTTGAAAGCAGATCAGTTTCTTGAATGCTGGAGATTATACCAGAACAACTCGTCAGGCACAGCTGTTGTAGTGATAGAAGTTTTAAGAAGCACCAGATTTCACTGTGTTTACTGCATTTGAAGCGCTGAAGCTTTGAAACTTTTTTTGCACAAATAGAAAGAAAGCCTAATTTTTTTTGTCAGAGTGAGAGTTTATAAGATAAAGTAAAAAAGAGACAATACATTTGCTCATCGAATACATTCCAATGTGTCCAACTTCCTCCAAATAATTTGACTATGTCAGCAGCTAAATTATTTACATAATGATTCTCCCTCATCTTGCTTGTGCAGTTGCACTTAGACATATAAAACCACCTTTAACTGCCCAAAAGCTGCCAAGTAACAGCCCACACTTCACATGCGTAGCTGCAACTCAAATCATCTTTTTAGGCTTCAGGTTTATTTATTTCCATTTCATGCATGAAACTACTGTGATTGTGAGTGGCCCTCTGGGCGCTAACAGAGGTGACCCACACAGCAGGACTGTGGCTGGACATTGTTTCGACACTGATGGAGGACTAAAGCTACTGCTGTGTGCTGCTGTCTCTACAGAGCCTTTATATTTTGAGGACACTATTCCTGTGCTTAAACATGTCTCAAACTGACAAACCTCCACTTGTACATTTTGGGTTTATTCTTAAAGCAGATGGCCACCAATCTCACAAAATACTCCTCCGCCTGTGGAAACAGTTGTACAATGTCTCTGGAGGAGTTCATATTTGCTCCGTCTCCCATTCACTTCTATTAAGGGCTGCACTTCAGGCAAATTCAAGCCTCCGGTGTGATCTCCAGCCAGCTCTGTCAGACTCACCTTTCACTGGGCCAATAGAAACCGTGAAGGCTAATGTGACCATACCTTGAGAAAGTAACCTTGATGATGTCATAGTTTAAAGGATGATCTCTAATTGGGCTTGGAGACTACAAACTGGAGGACTGAGGTTTGACAGTAAAATGCAGCAGGAGGGGTTCCACACCTTCAGTCTCTCTCACTGTGTGTGTCTCTCTCTCTCTCTAACACAGAGTTTTATTCTCACTATATTATTCTTTGAACCGTTTAGACTAGATATATTTTGCTTTGCATGGAGCTTCTTTCCTACTTACACTGTGTTGACTTGACAGTATGGCCTCTTCCCGCTCTCGTCTCCGCCTCTGCTTCTCTGCTTGGGACTGAGATGAAGAGGAGGAAGGTTTTGGTGGGTTGATGGAACAGAGTCTGGCTTCTCCTCTGGCTGTCAGCCTCAAAGTCAGGACACGTCCTGCCCTCCACATCTTCAATAACTACGATAGAAACGAATAAAATAATCAGGTCACGCAAGAGTCGTCTGTAAGTAAGCTAATAAATTAACTTAACGTGAAATAAGTGTATCTGCGGTGACAATTCATATTTCAACTGGCTTAGTGTACTTACTGTGCTTTCAATACACCGAGTGTTCCGAAATGCCAGCCACGACCTTTTACTTAGTCACTTCGCAATTACAAGCCCAAAAAGGTGCATTTCTATCATGCTGTTAATTATGTTAACATTGCATAACTTCGTAGAATAATTGTAATTTCATATCACTCTGTTACAATATGTTTTTCTTTTATTCTTGGCATGTGGGGGATGTTTTGGACGGACAGATAAAATGTCACGGACAACAGGAAATAACTACTGTCCGTCTGGAAATAGCTTCCCCACAACACTACTGCTGTCACGCCAAACCGAGAGAGAGACGAAGCATCCTGCCTACGTTTCAAAATAAAACGACATATGGAAACAATGTTCAATAAAAATGCAATATTAATGGCCTAACTGCTCCTTCATTGGATATATAATATTATGGAATAGCTCGGCGGTTTGGCGTGAGTATTTTGTGTCTATGTGACAGTGACACCATGATTCACATAGCTGATAATCGTTTTGAGGTGAAAATCTTTAACTTCCGTTTGAGTCTGACGAACTCATTTGGCAACTTGACCACATCTCAACATAGTGTTCAACGCCTCACTATCTTCACGTCAACGTTCTTCAATTTGAATACAGTCTGTTAGTTACAGAACTAAAATCTGTCATTGTAACGTTAGCTTTCATAACGAACAGACATTGTCTATCACTGACGGTCGACTCCTGTTCTTCATATTTTAAAGCTAGCTAACGGTAGTGTTAGCCAGCAGCTCCAGGGATGGCGGAGGTTCCCGGGACATCGAGTGAGACGATAACGGAGACTGTTCAGACGAGCACACCGCCGCCGCCCCAGCAGGTAAGCTGGCCAGTCGTGAAGACGTTTGACTGTTTTGCTAAAAGTTCTCTTACTGCAGAGTAAAACCTCTCGGTGGTGTCCAGCCCCAACGAGGCCGCGCTGCTTGCAGACAGCGTTCATGTTGTCATCAGAAGTTGTAACACGGCTGTCAGTCCTACCCCGTGAAGCTTCACGAGGCCTATTCATTACAACATGGCAGTCACGTCACTAGTTACGATGTTAGCTAAGTGAGTTAACGTTACCGTTGACATTACAGCAACCGTATATGTTGGTGCAAAACGTTCTAACGTAGCTAACGTTATGCATTAACGGAGAGTCCTCTGGTTCTCTGCAGGTTCAGGTATTCAACTCAACTCAAGACTGTCTGTCGGTTCTGAAAGAACAGAGCTTCACGTCATATCGTATTCAGACCTGAGAAATGCCCTTCAATGAAACAGACAAATAATGGTAGACAATCATGTATCTGATATACTATAGCTAGCAGCACTGTATACAGTCAAACATGTGGACCACCCTGTCCACGTGCTTCTGCTCTGGGTCTGTTTTTCCTGGTTTGGTCTTTGCCCCTTAGTTTCAATGAAGGGACATTTTAATGCTTCAACAGAGAACACATTAGTGTTCTTCCAACTTTGGGCCCTGTCCAGTTTCAACATGATAATGTCCCCATATACAAAGCCAGGTCCATAAAAACATGTTTCCCCAGTTTGGTGTGGACGAACTTGATTGTCCCGCACAGATCCTTGACCTCGACCCCATCCAACACCTTTGGGATGAACTACAAGATCAATCGCAAGTCAGGAATTTCACATCCCACTATGGCAAGTGGCCTGAATATTCAGGTGTCCACATACTATGGGCCATGGAATAATTGTTTTATTTGCAAAAAAATCTTATCAATCCCACTGATATCCATTAAGTTGGTGAGAACCTAATGGAACAATTATTGACAAGATGATAAGATATTGCTGCATATGTTCAGTATGAAAAATTCGCTTGAACATTATGTCACCAAACTAGTTGCTGAGAGGGAACAGACCAATGTTCCATGTTCTACCTTTGCATCATCCTTTGCGTTGGCCCAGGAGCCAGCAGAGCCTTGTGAATGTGTAGTGCTTGATATGAGGACCTTCTGGCTGTGTGAAGACCCAGTCAAACACTACGTCCAGTTTACATTTGAAGCCCAGCATCTGTCACATGTTACAGGAGGGACGAAGCCTGACAATCAAGCTGAGGAAGAGGAAGACTGAGAAGAAGGTGGAGTGGTCCAGTGACACCGTCGACAACGAGCACCTCGGGAGAAGGTCTTCAAAATGTGAGTTCATCTTCTTCATGAGGCACACTGCAAAGTAATGAATGCACTGGTTCCTTTTCCGTCAGCAAAGGTCGGATAGTTGAATGTGATAGCTGGAGCTGCTTTAGCATGCTGTAACAATGGTATAGGTTGTCCCACATTGTTATGCTGACTTCTGAAGGCCCTATACATTGTGTACATTGTTAGTCCTAAACAGTGGTGCTGTATCTCACTGAGACACGCTCTCCAACCGTTTTAAAGTCTACATGCAAATAGTCAAAATCTAGAAGCAAATTCTCACGTCACTGCTGCTACAACCCATAAATCAACACATCATGTACATAGAATACTCTTCTTTTTCTATTTCTCTTGTACTACTACATATCCTGAAATGTGTTACTGTGATAGTGGCCGCAGGATGAACAGGCTGTGGCTGGGTGGGAATGGTCCTTAACGTTCTCTGAGCTCTTCGGGCTCCTCTTGTCACCTATATCACTGGTGCTCAGTACATGAAGACCAGTTATGTTGTAGGTGGTTTTAATCAGTCATAACAGTACAAAATAGAATCAAAGACACTCTCGCTTCACGGTCTACAAGTTGAGATGTTTTCCAGTGATGCTGGTCTGTCCATCATGCTTAGAGTGCACATGCTAGTGCAGCTAAATGGTGAAGACTCTCCAAAATGTGAAACATAACAGCTGAAACAGGGCTCAGGGGTCGCCCACAGATACCTCACTGACTTATATGTCCAGTTTGTATCACACAAAGCTTGATAGGAACTGAAGTTCAAAATCTCAAATAGAAATAAGTAAAATAGCTAACATGTATTACGATTTTTAATTTTGCAACATCAATATATATTTAATATTATTAAGGCTCAGAATGTCCCATCCGCATGGTTCCCATACGACCGGATTACTGACACCCTCCTCTGTCATTGTACACACATTTACTGTGGATTAGCATAATATAATCAAACTATCCTAAAACATTTATAGCACAATTGACATGCCAAATGATGGCACTCCTTACTCTACTTTACTAATGCTGACCATAACAGCATATGACATGCATAAAGTAGCTGACAGTGTCATAACCCTGTGCATTAAGAGTGAAACCTGAGAAAGCCCAAAGCTGTTCTGTGTCTATACAAATAATCTCAACATTCTGACTTCAGAATGTTATTAATATCAGAACTGAAATAATTCATTTTTCATATGGCCGTTATGCTCTTCTATATATATATACATATATATATCTATCTCTCTCTCTAGATATATATATATATATATA